AACCCTACCTCGAGTTGAGAAACTCAACCCGAGCACTGCCCAAGTTTAATTCGGGCGGGCTTGGGTTAAATTCGGGATGATTTCGGGCTGAATTGGGGTTACTTTACGGGTTTAATTCAGGTTGAGTTTGGGTAGAATCCAAAATAAACTTGTTGTTCTAAACCCAATACATATATTATATAATATTTACTTAAATTAACAACTAATAACTTCAACCAAGTTTTTAACAGTGCTAATGCTAGAACAAAATGAAAATGAACGAGATATACAGAGAACGATAGAACAAAAATAAAAAACTAGTGCTAATGCTTTATATATATATAATTTTTTTTTAATTTGTCAGGTTCGAGTTGAACCCATGAACCCGAGGTCTTAACCCGAGCTCAACCTAAATTGAATTCAGGTTAAAATTTTTTAACCCAAGTCCAACCCAAGTATTAAAAACCCTTTCTCAAACCCTAATTTTTTTTGGTTGGGTTCGGGTTGCCCAATCCAAGTTGCACCCCTAAAAGGAGTCGGTTATGGACAAATAATAGTCCATAATTACTACATATGTAAAAACAAGTTGATTTTTTTAAAAGTCTCAATGATAATTTGGCTAGAAATGGTAAATTTTACATAAATTTTTAAGCAAATTTTATTTTATACCCTAAAAGATTTCATAATTCTCATTTTATACCGTTAAAAATTAAATTTCTCATATTACACTCTCAATATATCAAAAGTGTTGTAATATGATCATTCTGTTAGTTTTTCTGTCAAATATTAAATTTCGTGGAATGTCTACTGAACTATGACAATCAATTTCAAATTGCTTGAAACTCAAGTACTTGTTGATATCGGGAATGGTCATGTGTTTCACACAATGACCCGGAAAGATATTCTTGGCTTAGGACAATTGTTGTCCTTTGTCTCACTTTTATAAAAGAAAATTCTATGTACCATATAGAATGCGTGACCTGAGTAGCAAATAATTCTAAACTACTATAAAATCAAATACTTCTTGTTAAGTTCCAAACATTTGTTTGGCTTATGTTATTTCATATGTGTTTCCCACTTTTCGCCTGCCCCAAATCATTTTCTTATTTTTGACATAGATATTCTGCTTTAACTGGACCGGGGAGTGAATTAATCGAAGTGCGTTTAAACTGGTTTAGACACTCTTAACCGTTGGACAAAAAAAAAAGTCACTTCCTTATATAACTATTATAATCATTCTCTTTTATTGACGAGTGGACGTGAAATAACTCGGCTTATAATTGGTTTTCATTTTCAGTATGTTTGTTGTATGCTTTGAAATTCCATGAGATAACAAATTGTAATCCACTTACTTATGAATTATTTGATATAATTGTCAATAACCTCATATATGTTTTCAGTTTTAATTTGGAAAACATGAAAATGATCAAGTTTTTGAAAAAGGACATTTGTACATCAATATAAGTCCTTAATCACCTTGGTTTGGTAAACGAGACAAGGCAGCAGGCGCAACCTTAGACATTTTTGGAACATAAAGTTGAAATAATAAATGATTTTTTTTAATTTTTAATATTAATAATGAATTTAATTTTTAATTTTTGAATTATAAAAATATTAATTAAGTTTTTGTATTCAAGCTTTTGTTATCATATTTGAACTTCACGGTGACAGAGAAACAGACAGAGAGAAAGAGGGCAGGGAGGGATGGAGGGAGAGGATGATTGAAAAAATTATAATGGTAAGTTTGAACTTGACTTTGTTGGGGGTTGAGACTTGATTTTTCAGATTTACTGTTAGTTTTTTTTCTTGTCTTGTTTTTTTCAAGAAATTGAATTTTAGGGCCTTCTAATTTTGGGGCTGAATTAATAAGCCTAATATAGTCAAGTTGAAATATTTTGTTTGGTCATAAATCTATGATTTTTGTGGGGCCTATTTTTTAATGGATTCACATTTTATGTTTTGACTATTATTACACACCTATAAATGAGGTCTTAGAAAGGGAAATACTATCTAACTCAAATCTGCAATCTAAATTTGCATCTCAAATAAAGGGGATCATTAGATGAGTGGGTCCTATCAATTTTTTTAAATGGGATCTACTGATCCAATGGTTCCTCTTCATTTGAAATGTAAATTTAGGTTATACAGCATTGCAGCTCTTTTTAAAGTGGGACTAAAAACCTAAACTTTATTGACCTAATGATTTGGCCGGCTCTTGAGACGGCTTTCATAAATTTAAGTACGACTCATTATATGTAAGTGAGCTTTTTATCAAGATCTAAATCTGCATTAGACATTTTTTCAACCATGGATCTAAATTGTAGGGATTTGCTATAGAAACATTCATCACTCGCCTTTCCGGATTTCATATTAATGAAAAAGGCAACGATATGATTATACTTTTCTGCATGCTAATTATACATTTGTTTTTTAGCTTCATTTAAAAAGAGCAATCATGCGATCTCAAAAAATTAATAGGAGTTTCATATGATAGGTCAGAGGCAAGCCAGTAGGATCTAGAGAGCTGACCAGGTCTGTCTTTGATCGGATCGGAAAGAGTATTAGTTGAGGTGAGCATAAATTGACACGGATACCCCTGACTGTTGAACCAAAAAACAAAATCAAAGTAGATGCTCAAATAATTCCACAACTTACTGGTTCAACCTATGGTCGTTTGCTCATCCACCAAGTCTTCTACGCAGACCAAAATTTTGGGATAAAATTTTTTTTATGACAAAGTAAGGAGGACCCATAGTATTTTGTTATAGGGTAGATACATTTTGAACAATTCAAGTAATCTATGTCGAATATTGTTGAGCGGTCTTTATAAAAAGTGAAACTAATAACAACAATGTCTAAAATACTAATTGTTTGTCATCATTTAAAGTTGTGAAATCTTAGAAATCAACCATTTCAAGAAACTAATTGTTGTGATTTAATACGCTTTAAATCCACAGACAAACACACACAATCGAAGAACAAATCAAGAACAGAAAGCAATAAGAAACAAAAAAAAATAAGACACAAAGATTTTACGTGGTTCGACAATTTGCCTACGTCCACGAAGCTGCAGGGTTTTCACTATTGAGAGAGAGGATTATAGAGAGAGGCTATACACCATAATCCAACCTTAATCACCAAAGTAGCGGTCTTTTATATGTCCTACGTATCGGGCTATAGAACAGGCCCAAAAATTTTCCTCGGGGGTGTTGCCCCCAAACCCCCACGAGGCTTGTTCATGAGAGCTACGGCTTGGGCGCTCCATGGACCAAGCCTCAGAAAATTTCCCATTAAAAAACTACACAATATTACTTCGGTGTTGGGTCATCATCCGGATCAACATACAAATTAGAATCCACAAAAGGCCCAACACTAATCTCCTCCAATCTCTTGTCCAAAAGGCTTGAACTCTTTCTATTTTTCACAAATATTGTGTTGGAATATGTTTTTCTGCAAAAAGCAGAATTTTGGTGTCTTGGCTAGTTAGAAAATCAGAAGATATTTTGGTCTTATTTCGTTTTTGTATGATACAGTCAAACATGAGACTTAATCAAGGTCTCGTTGAATCTTGAAGGCGAATTTGTTTTAACACAGTGCACACAAATTTGTTGTTACAAACATTTGGTGGCAATTCTCCTCCTAATCTTTTTGGTTTCAAAAAGAGTGTCATTGATGTGCCAATGAAAATTATTTATTTTATCACATTGTCTCGTGAACTTTATCAATCAATTTCACACTCCAAACTCCAATAGTTGTTGATATCGGGGAATGGTCACGTATCTCACACAATGTGCCCACAAAAATATTCTTGGCTTAGGACAATTGTTGTCCTTTGTCTCACTTTTATTAAAGAAAATTCTTTGAACTATGTAGATTGCATGAAGTGAGAAGCAAAGAATTCTAAACTACTATAAAATCAAGTACTTCTTCCTTCCCATTATCAACATTTTCATTTTCCACTATAGAAAGAGGAGAAAATCAAGTTTAGTAGACGAGCATGTGAGTGCAAATTCAAATAGTTAAATTTCAAGCCTTTGTTTGCCTTATATTATTTTCTTGTTGTTTCACGGTTTTCACATGCCAAAATAATTAGTACCCAAATCACAAAGATTGATCTATTCTATCCCTTTCAGAATGTTTTACTCTGCTCTCTATTAGGGCTTCTCTCTGGATGCTTCTTTACTTTCTCTATCGGTGCTTTCTCCTCTCTCATTGGGTATGATTGTGATACTATTGATTAGCCTTTAATACTGATATACGATTGTATTTAACACACTATAATAATCATTCTCTTTCATTAACAAGATGACGTGAATTGACACGGCTTATTTGCATTCATTTTCAGTATGTTAATTCTATGCCTTGAAAGTTCATGAGATAAAAAATTACAATCCACTTATGGATTATTAGATATAATTGTCAAAACCTCATATATGTTTTTAGTTTTAAGTTGGAAATTTTAAACATGAAAATGATCAAGTTTTTAACAAGGACCATTTGTACATCAATATTAGTCCCTGATCACCTTGGTTTGGTAAACATGACAAGGAATAATGAAGTCATTATTAGAGACGGATTTTGATCCCATCCAATATGATTTCTTTCAAGATAAGACTGCCCTTCATCAATTCAAGTAGGACTCATTATATGTAATTGAGCTTTCATCAAAACACAGTGAGTGCTCTGCTTTTGAGAAAAATTTTAAAAATACGTATATTAGATTGGATTTGAATCTGTGTTAAACATTTTTTCAACCATGGATCTAAAATGTATGAATTTGCTATAAAAACATTCCTCGCTTGCCTTCTTTCATATAATGAAGAAGAAAACAATATGATTTTACCTTTTTTTTTTGTTTCGTTTAAAAAGATCAATCATGCATATAAAACATAAAATTAATTGAGTAGTTGTTTGATGGGAAATATTTTTCAAACTTTGCCATGTTGTGGTAATATTTTTCAAACTTCGATTTTAGGGATGAGAACTCACGTATATTTGTCATCAAAACATGTTTGCAACAGGGACCGGGACCCTATATTTTGCTTTGAGGAGTAAATAATGTCTGCACAAAGTGCTAGTCATTCCTATACAAGTGTAGACCAAAAACTTGCTCGCTTATCTCCAATACCCTTTGAATGTAACCTCTTTAGAGTGCAAGATCATACGCGCAGGATAAATGTGAAAGCCTACGAACCTGAAGTAATCGCTATTGGTCCATATCATCATGGGAAACCCAACCTGCAGGCGATGGAAGAACACAAATTGCGGTATTTGCTAGAGCTCCTTATACAAGCGCAAGAGTCAAGTGTCGAAAGATACTACATGGCCATGAGAGCCCTAAAAGATAGAGCGCTTAAATGTTATGCAGAACCAATCAGCCTTACTGATGATGAGTTTGTAGAAATGATGCTTCTTGATGGGTGCTTTCTCCTTGGGTATATCCTAAAGTGCAATATCCCTAGTTTGGTACGCACGGGTGACCCTATCACCTTTAGTCAAGTTCGATTTGGCATGGTGCATGATTTATTATTATACGAAAATCAACTTCCATTCTTTATCATAGTTCAATTGTTCAGCCTGATCAATGTTTCATACCCACAATTCTCCATCATGAGTCTAACTCAGTCTTTCCTAGCCCAAACCTTCGGATATTTGAAAATAGAGCCAGGCGTTCGTGCTTGGATGTCAATTGGAGATGTCAACCATCTACTTGGCCTGGCATATTGTGGTCTGTGTTTACCGTTTGTTCAAATGGTGCCCCATAATGTAGGTGATGATGGCCAGGGGGTGCAGTTCATAAATTGTACGACGGAGCTCCAAGAAGCCGGAATTCTGCTAAAGGAGGCCAAGGAAAGTATTAGTTTTTTGGATGTTAGGTTCACCAATGGAGTGCTAGAAATCCCATCTTTCGTGATTGAAGATTTGACAGAAAATTTTTTCAGAAATCTAATGACATACGAGCAATATTGTCCAGCAACTTCCCCTTATGTTACTGATTATATAATCTTCATGAATCGTCTCATCAATTCCTCAAAGGATGTTGAGTTACTTCGTCGCTGTGGAATTATCATTGACTGGTTTGGAAATGATGTAGCAGTTCATGCCATGCTAACCAATCTTGCAAAGAATGCCATGAGAATGGGCAAGTTTAGTTACTCCGAAGTTTGCAAGAATCTGCACTTGCACTGTAGACGACGTCGAAATGTATGGATGGCAAATCTGAGGAGGAATTATCTCAACAATCCATGGGCTATTATATCATTTTTTGCTGCCGTTTTGTTGCTTATTCTCACTTTCACACAGACTGTATTTTCCATTCTTCCTCAAGTTTAGTCAAATCTCAAATCTTTTGTGTTGTGTGCTTAGTAAAAACAAAATAATGTGTATGAATAAGTTGTACTGATTCATCAGTCAAATGGATTTTGGGAACAATTCCACTTTTTGTGAGGTTGAGGGGATAATTTTCTTATCTTCCAGTACTTATTTTTTATTATTCTACCTAGTTTGAATCGACACTATTAATCCAACTAGTTTACTTGATCAAGAGTTGCATGACTTCATATGATCGCAAGGATAATAGATAAAGAAGAATGGTGAGAGATTATGAACAGTAGTACAATACTGGGCTAATACTCTTCAATGCTCAAATCAGTTATAAATGAAAGAGTCATATGATTTTAAAAGACAAAGGCTCTTCATAGGTGAGAATTGCGTATCTTTGAGGAGTGAGATCTTATCTAGAATACGTTCACGGGGAGTGGGACACAAAGGCTATGTATGTCACACACTAACTTTCTGAAAAGGAACATACTTGCCTTTTGATAATTTGTTGTTAATTTTCTAAAAGTCCATGCATTGAGGGGAACATTCTTTTCTTTTATCAATTATTGTTCTTGCCTTGAATTTTGTAAAAGTGAACTCAATGAAGGGAACATACTTGTGACAATTATTGCACTTCTACTTGGATGGCGTTATCACTTAAATGTTTTCCACACGATATTTCATTCTCCAATTTCAATTTCTTAAAGTGAGACCTCAATAATTTAATCAGATCTTGTTATGTTGGGTTGATGAACGAGAAAAAGGCATAAAATAACTCGTATCCAGTTGTTGTGAAGTTCATAGTAATGTAGTCACTCCACAAGAATCGTGCTATTGAGATTCGATTACGTTGCCACCATGACTTTGTTAAGCAAATAGTAGATTCGAAATTGCAAAAGTCATGCAGTCGGATCCTGACCAAACAATTTTCATTGTCCAACTATTGCGTCAAACTTCACCCTTTGAACTTTGACCTTTGACCTTATTCAAAGTTCCGAATTCAAGAATTTGCAAGTATATTTAGAAAAGGTTGTGCTTTTTTTTTTCTTTCCATAATAGAGTTTATGGAATTTATGAATTTATAGAACTACTCAAAAAAATTACTAGAAAATTAGCACATTAAAATTTAAATTTTCATCTTTTAAGTTCGTTTTATGTTAAATTCATGTCATGTACAAGTCATATTTAACCGACTTCTTGTTATAAGTAGTTGGATTCGTGATGACTCTTTTATTAAGTAGGTCTGAAAGGTTCATCATTTTACTGCCTGAACCGTTAATGCTAAACCCGTTCCCGCCAGCTTGGTGTTGATTTATGTCGGGTAAAAAGAAAATAGGCAAGGCAATTTGGTGATAAACAAGCACAGAATCTAAATATGTTCTGTGGAACCTACTTGGCTTGTGACTCCTTATTGTTCTTGCTGCACTTTTGTGCAAGAAAACTGAGGGCTCCACTTGGATTACTTAAATTTTGGGAAATGCATCTGACCGATTATAAATAAGGGTTTTTTGCACTTAGTACCCTGAAAGATTATTTTTTTCACATTACACCCTGTGTATCATAAATTAGTTTCAATGTGACTCTCGGACTAACATTTATTTCAGACTTTATTAAAAATTGATGTATAAATAAGTGGTACTAATAAAAGTACCCTAAAGACATAAAAATTTTGAATCTCTATTTTACCCTTTATAAATGATTGCAAAGACCATTCTATCCTTCCACAATTAAATATCTAAAATACTATCATATCTTTATATATTTAAATCTCTAAATTATCTATTATTTTTTTATTTTTATCGCGGTTGTGGTAACTTTTGTAGGTAAATTACCACATTTGTGAGTATTTTAATTACCATTGTTGTGAGTCTTTTTTATCACTGTTGTAGTAATCATTTTTATTATTTTCTATCTAAAAACACTCACAACAGTGATAAAATATCAACAAATATAGTAAATGGAAGCATAATATCAAATTTTTTTTTGATACCATAGACAACTCCTCTCCATTAACATGTGCAATTTATGGATCACTTTCTTTTTAGCTATTGAAAGTTGGAGGATCGGTGGTGGCTTAATGGTGAAAATTGAAAAATATATTAAAAAAAAAACTCAAAACCACGCATATCGGATTATAAGGTCGGCAATACCATTAACATATGGTAATAATATATATATTTATTTTTTGGGAGGGGGAGATGGAGGGGAAAGGGGAAGGGCAAGAGGGACTTGAACTATTAACTTTAAGAAGACAAAATATTTACAAGATAAAGAGTATCATTGGACCAAAGACCCATTAATATATGGTGATAATATAATGATTTAAGTTCATCACTTAAATATATTTGGTGTTAAGTCCTATTATTATCTTTTTAATAAGTAATTCAGCCCAATTTTTTTAATAATTTCAAAATGCCCTTCTTATGACATTAAAAACACTCTTCAACGGTAAATCAAGTTATCTTTTAATTCACGCTCAATGAAAAATTACTAGTTAGATTTTTGTTCTCATAAAATTTAAAATTCAAATTCAAATAGGCTCTTCGGCTTGTCTCTTCCCATCTCTTCCTTCTCGATTTCCGTCATGAGAAGGGCTCAGACCAAAATGCAGAATAGGGCCGAAAAAACAGAACTGGGCCTACTGGGTCTGCATCATATGAAGAGTAGTCCAAGAATGATGGATGTCCTCCTGCAGTAAGGAAGAGTGGGAGTGTGATTAACCCAACCCAAGTTATATAGGAAATTTGGGGGCACTTTATATTGTATAAGTTTCTATAAAACCTTTTGATTATCTATTCTCTATATATAAATATCTGTTTCTATAAATTTTTTTGATTGACTATATTACCCTTAAAAAACATGCACAATTATATTTTCAAAAAAGTATTAATTGTTTTTGAAAAACTCCATCAATCTAATATTATTTATCTCATTTGCAATAATAACATCATGTCTACATATGTATATTATTTTTTCATCGAAGAGTTTAACCCTTTCATTTCTAAGATTAAAAATAATTGTATGTATAGTTTTTTAAAGTAAAAATTGGGGATGAGTCCCCCTATATATACTTGTTTGGAGACAAATCTGGCAAGGAAACTTATAGAGAGTTAAGTCCATATTTAAAATTATATATACTGACCTAAGTCCACTTTTTTTTTAATCTCAAAAATACCCCTAATGGTGTTAACTTTGGTCATTTATGGAAAGACATAAGTTAAATGTTTAAGATATATATGGTAACAAACTGATCAGTTTTTTATGGAAACTGTATATATCAAAATATTATGCTTCAATTACGTTAAAATTAGTGGTCTATTAATTCAATTTCGGATAAGAAGATTCCATTAAAAATTCAAATTCAAATTCAAAATTTGAATCAAGTATACCATTCGTGTGTTTGTAACATACTTTTGTTTTTTATTGGATTTAGAATTGATTATTTTTTCGTGTTAAATAAAAGTAAAAATCTGAACATTTTTTGAATTTTTCCAGGAAACCTGTTGTGTTCTTCTTTTTCATTACATACCGCTACTTCATTTTTATTTTACAAGAGTGTCGAAGGTGATAGCAACATCGACGAGAGTTCGACTTTTTATGTGATTTCAGTTCAACCTATTAGTTCTTGATTTTCAGATGTATTTTCACTTTAATTGGCTTTTTTTACATAACGTGATTAACAGTGCTATTTTGAAATTACCATAAATTAGAAGTTATTTTGCCGGAATTTCGATGTTACTAACAGGAATTTGCATTTCAATGTTATTTACTGGAGTTATTTAATTTTTTTTTTGAAACTAGGTTCTAAGTTTTGTTTTTCATGTTCCTGGTAGTGTTGTATTAGAATTAGAATTAATTATTTTCGTTTTTTCTTTGTTTTTTGCCGAAATTCAATGTTACTTATCGGTGTTGGTATTGCGACATCATTCAACGGAGTTTTTTTTTTAAAAAAAAAAATCTGAACATTTTTGAATTTTTCCAAGAAACCTGTTGTGTTCTTCTTCTTCATAACATACCGATACTTCATTTTTATTTTACAGGAGTGTCGAAGGTGATAGCAGTTGCGACAGAAGTTCGAATTTTTATGTTATTTCAGTTCAACCTACTAGTTCTTGATTTTCAGATATATTTTCACTTTAATTGGCTATTTTTACATATCGTGATTAACAGTGTTGTTTTGAAATCACTGTAAATTGGAAGTTACTTTACTGGAATTTCGATGTTACTAACTCGAATTTGCATTTGAATGTTATTTATCGGAGTTTATTTAATTTTTTTTTTTTTTGAAACTAGGTTCTAAGTTTGTTTTTCATGTTACTGGTAGTGTTGTATTAGAATTATAATTAATTATTTTCATTTTCTCTTTGTTCTTTGCCGAAATTCAATGTTACTTATCGGTATTCGTATTGTAACATCATTCAACGGAGTTTTTTTTTTTTTAAATAAGGTTTTAATTTTGTTTTTTTCATAGTAACATGAATGTTACTGGGTTACTATAGTAACATTACTTTGTCAGTAACATCCACAGTACCCAAGCACTTCCATAAATTGGAAATATGAAATCAATTTTTAATTTATCACACAGTAATATGAACAATTTTAATGTATTCTAGAAACAATGATTTTCGAATTTCTTGAACAACGAAGAAAATAACAAAAAATTTACACATCTAATTATATAACACATTGATTAAGTAATAGTAACATGAACAGTTCCATCCCCAAGATTATATTGTGCACAGTAATATCGAATTTCGAAAAATAGATAGTAAAAAATCAAACAATTCAAAAATTGATATTAATGTCATGAACTAATGGTAACACATTGTTAATGGTTGATTTAGGACAGTCAACACATATCTCATCTTCACTAATAAATTTTGAAAATTTCTCTCACACTAACATGAGCAATTCTAAAGAAACCACATCAATCAATTTTGAATGTATTACACAACGAAAAAAAATAAAATTATAATACCCAACTCTTTAATATAGTAACAAGAAATGACAATTTTATTTTAAAAAAAAGAAATTCAAAAGTATGAACGGTATAGTTTGTAAATCTTGTTTTAAAACCCTAAAACAAAAATCAAATATCATGTAAATTAACATACCTATCTATTATTTAAAGAATCCCAAAGCTTTTTTTGGGGAAGTCTTTAATGCCGAAATAAAATGTAATGTCACCAATGAAACTTGAGGAGTGATGCCGATTTTCGGTTTAATGGTTTTGAACCAGTACAAATTTTGAAAATGGATAACATAGAAAGATGAATCAAACGCTCAAGAAGAACCCAAAGAATAGTTATTGCAGTATGAACAAATTGTATGAAAAGAAGCAGGTTGAAGAAGCAAAGGCAAGGATTGAGAGGGAGCCGATTTGGGCAATGGTGGCTTGACCCCAAATCAGTTTGGGTAATGGCAAGTTTTGTTTTTTAAAGAAGGAAGATGAGATAGATTTTGGTGGATTTTTAGCTGGATTTATAGCCTATAATGGAGGGGAAGTTTTCAGGGTTCCTATTCGACAACGAAGAGTTTCTCCGTCTAGTGTAGAAACGGCAAGTTACACACCATTTATGGTTTTCCAAAAAATAAGGGTACAATAGTAAAATTGTCAAAAAGTGGACTTGAACCCAAACAAATTTCCTTGCAGGACTTATCTCCAAACAAGTCCATCTACGGGGACTAACCTACAAATTTTCCTTTTTTAAAATCAATTTAAGTTACATTAGTATAATTTTTCAGTCCCAATAAACTTTCTAAGTTTTTTTTTTTTCGGAAGATAAAGTGTATTAAAAAAACAGATATACAAGAGTAATCACCCACAGCTTATACAATGAAGTCACGTAGGACTCAAAGACAGACATCAAAAAAAACCAAAAAACTCCAAAGTAAGCCATTTGCAGTAGCAAAAAACAGCACAGACTATACATTCCCCTACAACCAAGATGGCCAGCAATCAAAACAGCAACAACAGGCATGAAGCACACAGGCCCAAGCACAACACAGCAGGACAAAAATCAGCACAACACACCAACAACAAGCATCAAGCCGACAGGGCCCAACTCATAAAGCAAAACAAAAACAGTGATCCTTCACAAGTTAGGAAGTCGATCCATAGCAAGCCATTTGCAGAAGAGCAACAGGCCCAAGCACAACACAGCAGCAACAAGCTTCGAGCAGACAGACCCAAGCACATAAATCAAAACCAAAAACACAAAATAGAGATCCTTCTCAAGTTAGGAATTCTGAGAGATGTATAGGCCTTGAGCCAGTACTTCCCCAAGAATCCCAAATTGAGAAGGATGGAGGCAAGTCTTGTAAGCGTCAAAACATTGATGCAGCAAGCTTCAAATTCAGAACTAATGGAGGCATGTGTCAAGCAGGTTACATTGTAACAAGGTAGAGGCAGTAAGATGGCTACGCTTGAACTTCAAAGTAAGGAGCCTCTCCCTAATAGACTGCTTAACCATCTTGATGAGAATATGAGAGTCAGCAGCTTGGTTTCCAAAGATTCTTGTGTTTCTTTCCATCCAAAGATGATACACAGTAGTAGAGAGACTGATCTTCAAGATAATAGTGGTCATTTTCTTGCCTTTCCACTGCTGAGCAGCCCAATCAATAAAATCAGGCCATTGCCTTTGCTGTCCATGTTGATTGCACTGAAGAAGAATGGAGTTCCAAACTCTAGAGGAGTAATCACATTCAAAAAAAAGGTGGCTGTGAGATTCATTAACCTTTCTACACAAGACGCATTGAGTGTCAACTTCATTTGAGAAAGCTTGGATTCTATCTTTAGGGCTCAATCTCATTTTAATGGCTAACCAAAAGATAAAAGTCATTCGAGGTATTGACTGGCCAAACCATACCCAATTATGCCAAAAGACCATATTAGTTGCATTCCTCAAGTGCTTCCCAAGCAGATCTGGCAGAGTAATTCCCATCAGTGGTAAGGGACCATCTCACAAAATCATTTCTGGTTTGATCAGGAAGGTAGGTTGGCATGTTGTTAAAAATATTCTGAACACACAGATGAGTAGAAGTAGTTATGTTCCATTGGTGGTTGGCACTAACACTACTAACGTTTGCTTCCCTTGGAATTCTTGCTTGTTGCACTATATTAGAGCTACTTCTTCGTAACAGGGGACCATATGGATGCCAGTTGTCATGCCAGAAGCTTGTGAGTTGCCCATTCCGTACAATGTGCACCATTATAGGTCTTAGGATTTCCCTGAGTTTTAAAAGGTTCCTCCAAGTGTGTGAGCAAGTTTGGGGAGTTTTGAGCTCCCATAAGCTTCTATCCCTTATATAGTAAGCATGTATCCATTAGGTCCATTAGTTTTCCTTGTCATTAAACAATTGCCACAGATGTCTCAGGAGCATGGCATTGTTCCATTCCTTCAACCCTTTTATAACCAGGCCACCCTCTCTTTTCGGCTTGCAAACATCATTCCATGCAACTTTAGCTCCAGACTATTTGAGCTCAGTGCCCTTCCAAATGAAAGCCCTCAAATTTTGTTCAAGCTTGTCCAACACTTTCTGTGGTAAGCTCAATTGGATAGCCCAGAAGACATGCATGCTACTAAGCACTGAAGTTACCAGTTGAAGCCTTCCTACGTAGGATAGGAACTTGTTAGTCCAAGACTTAACCTTGTTTTCAACCTTTTCAATGAGGCCCATGCAGTGTTGAGCCTTAAGGTTGGTGGAAACCAGTGGAACTACAAGGTACTTGATAGGTAAATCACCAATAAAGAACCCAAGAATCTCCATGATTAGTGATCCCTCCTCCTTAGGGACTGCACATAGATATATATTGCTCTTTTCAATATTAGGAAGTAATCCAGTGAGTTGGCCAAATTGATGAAGAGATCTCTTCAAGGTTTGAACAGAAGTTGCATCACCATGACAAAATAACATCAAATCATTAGCAAAGGAGAGTTGAACCATTTTGAGCTTAGAGCATCTCCAATGAAACTTAAACTGGGGATTGGATTTTATGTTGTTATGTGTTATCAGGGATAGATACTCCATTGCAAAAATAAAAAGGTAGGGAGATAATGGATCTCCCTGTCTCAATCCTCTAAAATTTGAGAAGTAACCAGCTAGCTCACAATTCACATTAATCGAGAACTTGGCTGTAGTAATGCAGGCATGAATCCATTTCCTCATTGTCGTTGGGAAATTAAAGTCTTCCAAAGGATCAAGCAGAAAATCCAACTGGACAGTGTCAAAGGCTTTCTTAATGTCAACTTTAAGTGCACATCTGGGGGGACCTGAATTTTTGAATCTCTGTACTAAGATTTTATGTAAATATAGATATATGTAGTATATATTTCAATAAAACTTAATTTTTTTAGAATTTTAATTTGCTTGATAATATATATTATAGAGTAGTATATTAAAATCTTATTTCTATTGACCTAACTAATTTTTAATTACAGTAAGGTGTCAATGTGTTTAGAATCACAAAATTCTAAAAAAAAATACAAGTTTAGCTTCTTTTTTTTAATATTTTTTATAGTTAGAACAAAGAACTTTGGGAATATATAAAATTTTCATAATCTTATAATTAAATATGAGCAATAAAAAATTAAGTTTGATAAATTTGAGATAATATTTACTTCATATACACATATATACCTAATATGTTTTATTAATTTTTATGCATGAAAATTATTCACGTGCAACATATGTGATGCATTTCTGGTATATGCTAAATAGCAGTTAACTTTACGAAGAATGGGACTCGTGGTCTATTATAGACAAGTCATTAAAGACATTTTCAAATGAAGCATACTTTGTCACACCCCCACCCGGATCACATAGGGTGAGTAGCAGACCGGCCACCGAGGCCTTAACTAGTCATCCTTGTGCATAATTAATGCAAAATACAGCGGAAGACAAATAATAAAATGATCATTTTCACCGACCTAATGAATACCAGAGAAATAAACTAACATCACCGAAATTATTATTAAACTCATGTAAACAATAACTAATCCATAAGGTTCACTACTCTAAGCAAAAACAACATCGTTTTCAAAACAATCGAATACTCGTCTCAAAACTATAAAAAAAAAATATTTATTCCTGAAGACCTACAATAAAATAAATCTTCGACTCTTCTAATCCCTTATCTATCCGAGGACTTACTCCTCCTCCTGATCCTCACCTGAAAAATGTTAAATATTTGGGTGAGCACAAAGGTCCGTGAGTAGCAACAACCTCTAATAAGGTATGAAAATAAATCTCATATTTCATATACATAGAAATAAATTTTGTTATATACATAAATACAATAAATTGTACCCCAATCCCTTTCACAAAACCATGTAAACAAAATGATCTCACGATCATAATAACTTTATAAAAGAAAAGACATTTATAGCTCAAAACACTCACACACACATTCAGTCTCAAATACACTTGTCAAATCATTTTTGTTACCACTAGCCTGGTAACTGGCCCCATCTCTTGTCATCACTAGCCTGATGATTGGCCCCTTCTTTTGTTATCACTAGCCTGATAACTGGCCCCTATGTGCACATCCCTATACCGACCACGCCGGTATACAATCTCGTTACCATTTAGACCTGGTAACCCAGTCCCCTTCTCATAAAACATGATTTCAACACGCACACTAAAACTGTTGTTTTAGTCCCAACGCACACAAAATTTCTCTTTCATCATCAAAACACATTTAAGCAATGATATAAAATCATCCCATAATATTTTCCAAACTTCACAAGTATAACAATTCACAATTGCAAAACATTTAATTGCAACCCAAACATCAACATATATCATATATATCAAAATTCACACACACGCAACCACAGTTTAATATAGAAAATTCTCTCAATAGAAGTAGTAAACTACTCACCTTGATTTCCAAAATCTAATTCAAAGCACTCTTTTCCAACCTCAATGCAATCACCACCTAATCCAAAATAACATATAGCAATCAATCCATTTTTCCTAATTTCGTCGTTTCGCGATTCTATATTTGATTTTATGCTTCTTACTCATTAATATATACTCAATATATATTTTACATATAAATATCCTTTCTAATATGAGGTAACAGCATATGGAAGTATTCAAAACTGTTTGGAAAAAGTTTTTAAAGTTCTGGGTTCAAATCATCATTTTTAAAACTTTTGGGGTCAAAGTGTAATTTTCTTAAAAACAATTTTTTTTGTTTTCGGGTCTGCCATAAATTTTTAAGAATAGTATTTAAGGTTATAGAGACCCATTTTTCAATAATACCGCCTCAATTTGATTTATTATAGTAACTATTGATATTTAATCACTTACTCGAAACTTTTAGGGTTCGTTTCAAAATTTCAAAAAATTTTCAAGACTTGGGGGCTGTTTTGACATAACCATATTTGTTTCAAACATATTGGGTCAATTTTATAAATTAGCAAGTTCCATATTAGTTAAAAATTGAGTTTATCAAAGTATAGGGATCAAAATAAAACTACTTAAAACTAAGGGGGAGGTTTTCATAATTCAAAACTTTATCTTCTTCACCAGCCGTCCGTAAGCTTCTGGTTTCCTCCTTCTTTGTTTCCTTTTTGCTTTGTTAAACACATGAAATCAATTCTTTAAAGGCCTCAAAAAAAATCATAAATCTATACTACGTAAAATCAATTCTTTAAAAACATTAAATCAATTCTTTATAACTTTCAATAAAAATCATTTATATA